TTCCCTAGCCCCACGGAAGAAAAGGCAGTTGAAAACAAAGCCTTGTTACCCAAAAGATTCAACCTTCAGACTACTAGTAAAGGCTTTTGAGAAAGCCATTGGATGACTTGTCCTGCATTGTGGGCCACAGATTGAATCCTCCACATCAAATCGAGTGCCTAAGTACCAGATAGCTGATACCGTGTTTAGTTCTCTGTGGACACAGACATCCCAAAGAAGTACCAACTGTACTTGATTGATTCCTGACAACACTAATTGCAACATTAACATCAGTATTACTAAGAGGATGGCATAATAAAAAATAAACTACCCCTGCCCCGATACAGCATTAAGAGAAAATACAAAAAAGAAGCCATGAAGCACTATGGCCAAGCAGAAGAGGGTTGTGTATACAGAGATATCTGGAACCCATTCAGTGCTTTGTCATTAATCTGCTGTGACACTACAGAAGGCACTACCCTCCCACAGAGCTGCTCACAGACTGCCAATTCTTCAACACAGAGTTTGTTTCACTGTACGTGATCACAGCATCTTGGCTGGAGTTCCCAGATACTATAGTAGTAAAACTAAATATTGACAGCAAAGGTAGGCTTTCAACATTGTCTGACTATGGTAACGAAGTCTGTGAGGCATCCAAGAAGCAGCAGAGACAGCTTCTCATTCTCCTTCTTCCAGAATGAAGACAGAGGGAGATGTAAAAAGAGGACATGTTAGGACTACTACAAAATAATTCCTTTAAGGTTTTTTCACTAATGACTATTCTATAAACATATTAATTTCTGACTATAGCTCAGATTTGGGTTTTTTGCTGTCCAGTATTTCAATATAGTCTAATCTTGCATCAAGTAACACAAGTGTTTTAAGAGCAGAGCTTTGAAGAGCTGAGCTCTTTCAAGGCTTCTCTCTCTGCAAGTTACACTGGAATGAAAGGATATGGGGAAATGCAAAGCAAAGTAGCATATATGGAGTGAAAGTACTCAAACCAGCAGCTTATGCAATTCCTTTGGAATGGAATTTGGCCCTCAGCTGCAAGTTAGCAAGTGGTACTTGTTTTTCCATAAGGCAATCAGTTATTAGAAGTCTCTGCAACAGCATACTTTCAAAGAATCAATGATGTTAGCTTTGAAATCAATTTTCACTTTGCCTCAGCATTAACCAGCGGGAGACCTACAGCACAATACCACTGTGGCCTCAGTGACCCCTGCTTACAAAAGGTTAGCCATCCAGCAAGGCAATGGCCACTCACCTCTACCCGGGCAATAAGCAACACAATCCCTCTTGCCCCCTTTAAGCCACTGGGAACATACCTCATTTTTCATCTCTTGTTTCTGCAGAGCTGCATTGTTTCATTCAGGACTGGAACTACAAAGAGGGCATGCTGCAATCCCCCTAGCAGTTCTAGGGCCCTTCTGACACACGCTAACCAGGAGGCTTCCCGTTAAAACAAGTCTCTTAGAACTAACTGGACTGTGTTACCTGGGACAGAACAGATACATTTCTACTCACCCTTTATCTCTTTGGTGAATTTTACCCGATGAGAATCAGTCAGAGGTCTTGGTTGTTCATCAATATTATGAATGTCAAGAACTTCACACATAAATTGAATTACAGGTTGTGCTTTGTAGAAGGCAGTGGCAGAAACTAAAAAGAGCAAAATATTAAATGTAAAAAACCCCCAAGTCAGAATGTGGCGAAGCAGTATATAAATGAATGCTTTTTAAAATTCCACGTAACCCTCAAGCAAATGTTGTGCAGCACACATCTTTAAAAACAGATTAGCAAGCCTTGCAACAACGAAGTACACAAAAACCAGCGTATGGCCCACAGTGACACATCAGTCTCCAGCACAGTCATACTGCAACTACCTTGCATTTCAGGGTTTTGAAAGGGTTTTTCCCCAGATAACATTTATTTCTAGAGAGCTGTAATGTCCCAGAGAGACATTCTCCTTCAACTCTGTACGCAGCTGCAAGCAGAGATAGTATTAATGTATCTCTACTGAAGACTTTTTAACATGAAAAGTTAAGATTGTTCAACAGGCAACATAATTTTGTCAGTGATACGATCTGCTCAATTACTGAAACAATATTTGGTAGAAACTTGAGCACTATTTTGACTATACACAAATTGTGTTGGTGTAGTGGCGAGTTCAACCCTCGATCTACTAAAATCTCTCACCCTCCCTGCACACTAATGACACAATCATATTAAGTGACAATATACTGTTTTTAAACAGGACAGTTGACTTATTCCATGGAAGGAAGACCATAAACAATCTGCTTGACAAAGCTACAAGCATCTGCAACAACACCTTCTAGTAAGAAAGGTGAGGTGGCACTAGATATAGCTCAAACACAAATAAACTACTCCACACATTTAAAACTGTAAATGGCAACAACAGAAAATAAATACTCAACAAGCATTTTATTAGTTTTCCAGATCTCATGTACCAAATCCACCACATCTCTGTGCTAATACAACGAAACATTCTTCAGACATGCGTCACTTTAGCAGGCTGCCAGCTTCACATGACGCACTCCGGCCAACACCTCCGGATGTCGATTACTGAATGAACACAAATAGCTCACACCCCCAGCGACCGGCAACGTGCGGTTTGTCTCCCACAGCAACACAGGCGACACACAGAGAAACAGATTTTGCTGAGAACCTCGTATGAGTTAAACAACTAAAAGTCAAGTGATGGTATTTGAATGTAATCTTTGCAGCCTCAAACCACAACAAAACGTAATTGCCCCATAAATCGTAGCTTACAAAGTTCTTGAGTTTCTCATTCACAGAAAGGACTAGAAAATTTCTACTGCAAGAGTTACTACTACACTTTCTAATGCTGATAAGAAAAACTTGATTCACAGAAAGTAACAGAGCAGCACATCATAAATTGGTATAAATTAATTTTCTTGTCCCACCTGAATTGCAGTTATCTCAGTACCTAGCACATAGATACTAGTACTGGTTATTGCTCAGACTGGTAAGATTTTTATGTTTGTTTTTCAAACAATAGCTACACCATAGCTGCTGTTTGAAAGGCAATTTTACAAGAACAAACCCATCTGAAGTCACATGAGTATCATGCACTAGAACACACGACTTGCAAATTTTCATTGCAAAAGCTCAGCATCATTTGCAACATTTTATTATGCTCCGAGACAGATGCTAAGCACAACCTGACTTAAAAGTGCTTCACCTAGTGCAAAAAAGACTATTTACCTTGGGTTTATAAAGCATTTCAAACAGACAGTGAGAACAGAATGTGAATTAAAGAAAACTTTAGGCAGCACCTGCATCTCAAACACTGACATTTTCCAATAGGGCTTTAACAACTAAATAGACTTGGAGTGCTTACAGAATCAAGGAGTCTGACACACGCACCAGTCGATCTCAGATGCATTCATCTGGGACTTAATAAAGTGGTGCAAACCAGATCTGATTTTGCATAAGAAAGCCCACCTCAATTAGCACTATTCACAAAAGTGCTTGTGATATATCTTAGAGTTTTCTTGGAAGTATCGAACAACACCTACTGCAGACAGCTGCAGGCAGACACATCTTAAGCAATTTGCCTGCATTGCTGTGGATGTACCAATACAGAAATTAAGTAGAAAACCAGCTATGCTAGGCTTTTCCTTCCTATATAGGCATTAATATTTTTTTAATATGGCAGGTAAATTTCTGTCCAAACACTGACATGCTGACAAACCCAGAAAATAAGACTAGGATTTCCAGGTAGCCTTTGCCGTATAGGTCTGGTCTGAACTGGCTGAGCAGGAAGCCAATGCATGCATGCATACATACATTATTACAATCTCACTCTACTATTATCATTACAACTTCTGTAGTAGGCTGACTTCACAATTACTGTCGTGTTTCATAAGGATATTACAAGACACAATTACTAAATCTTCAAACTGAGCAATAAGACACAAGTATTTTTCAGGTGAAAACCCCATGTCTATAAAGCAATTAAAGTTTGGAAGTTTTCTTATTCTCATATAAATTCTAGCAAAATACCCCAAGCTACTTTAACTCTGTATTATTTACAATATGAATTAAAAAATTGGTGTAGAAGATGGCTTCTGATTACTAAATCCCTCTGCACAGATGGCACCAAGTTATTACCACACAGAAACGCGGTACCACCAACTTGAGCACATGACAGTAAAATGACTGAATGGCAAGGTCACTTTTATTCTTATTCTTTTATTCTTATGTTCATTACTATCTTTATTCTTAACCCTGAATCCAAACTTACCATCAATATTGAGCATCATCTTCCACATGGCAGGCCGAACAGACTGATGGAATCCAAACCAGACCTCCCTACCTCCACCCAAGGGGTGATCATAGCCTTCTGGAGCTGAGAAAAAAGAGCGGCCCACAGGGGTATACCTAGTGAAAAAGATTACATGATTATGCTATTGCTTTCCAAATAAAAAACTCTATGATAAAGCTTATAACACACAGATTTTATTTTTTTTTTAATTTTGTGGACCAGGAATCTGTGCCTAGAACCAGGTTTCAAGAATACATCCTGAATGCTGCTGTTCTCATTGCAGTGTTTTTAAATTGAGACAAAAGACTTACTAGTTTTACAACGCGCAACCACTTTCAGTTTTTACAACAACTCAGGAACTAAGTTAAGTTACCATTTCTGCTCTTCCAATTCAAGAAAGTATAATCTCCATCACAGCAGATTCTGTACAACAACATTATATTTACTGGACTGACCCTCAAATATCATTTTTGCATGTTTGTATTCAAATGTTCCCTAGTAAAAGTACACTGAGAGACGGACTAACTATGGCGGAAACAAAGAACTAGAGAAACTAATGTTTCTCTCAGGTAGAAAGCAGCTGTTGACAAACCTCCATGCCTCCTCACATTTGTAACGGACAGGCATTGGTACAGAGGTTAACATCTTTCATGTTTGCTCAGGATCCAGGGTAGCTGAGGAACATTGGCTACCATAAACCAAGTTCTTTCTTTAAGGCAGTTACACCCAATGAAAAACACTAGTGCAAAGCCATCCTACCATCTAAAGCCAGCAATCAAACTTTAGAAGTAATTTTCATTGACCAAATGAAGCAAAATCAATTTGGCCTTTTCTAAAGTTTCTGGGTGCTGAGATAAACAACAGACTTTGTTAAGACAGGTATCTAGTCTCAACTGTGTATTTAAAACATGAGAAGCAATGCATCTCTGATGGGAATATTAATGAATTAAAAAGACTTGTGCTTTTAGACAGTCACTGCCATCAAGTGCATGACACTTGGCTCAACTTGAGCAGAAAACACAAAAGCGGTGCTATAGCATACTGTAATCTCTCCGTATTTCAGTTAAGGCCTATTATGTTTCCTGTTTCTTGATCTTTTCAAATACATCACCTGCTCTGGAGTTTAAATGTCTACAGAAATACACGCTTCTACATAATTAGCTGCAGTATCCCCAATTCAGCTAACTAGCTGTGCTGCATAGGGGGAATGATCATTTTTTTTCTTTTCGGTTGTGAAGAAACAGGGGTGAAGGGCTCCCAGTGGGGATATTTCAGGAAAAGACAGACTACACGAAGACAGTGAACCTACTTCATGGAGGGTAGGTGTCGTAGCACCACATCGACAGCATGAACAGGGTTAGTGCTGATAGGTTTGTCTAGTTCCAGAGGCTCAGGCAAGGTTCTTCCTGTCAAAACTTCATGCAGCAGGTGCCAGCTCACCCGAGAAACAAACTTTATTGACACTTTGAAGGGACGATCTTTTCCACCTTCTCCCGGTAATGTCACATCCAAATCCACCTAGGCGGGGGGGAAGAAGAAGAAGGGAAAAAAAAAAAGAAAAAAAAATGCAGCTGTTTAATCTGAAGTCTGGTAGCCTTGAGTTTTCACTCCTTCCTGTAACTGGGCCAGAGGCTCAAAACCTCAGATATTTAGGACACAGCACATTTGATAAAAGTACATTATCAAATGCACAAAATAAAGAGAACTGGGTCCTCACCAAGCAGAAGAGGATCATGTAACTTTTTGTCATCTTGAATCAGAAAACCTCTCATTCCAGAGAAACTGTGGTTTGATTTTTTTAATAGTACTTCATCATAAGAGAATGTATTACAGTCTGTAAAACTGGGTATTTCATAGATGTTGCTGTAGAAAGAGGCTACTAAATTCTAGGGGAGGTTCTGAATGCAACTACTACATGCACATTTACATACATTGGAATTTGCAGAATATACATTAGGACTCCATTTCAATACAGATACTGTAAGATACTTCCAGTTTCTCTGAACTTAGCAACATTAGAAGTTAGGTTTGTTTCGTTTCCTAGGAAGCTGTTACAAATATAATTTTTCTTCCAGTTATCTTACCCCAGTAGTGGCCACAGGAAGTGGATTGGCTGTATAGAGGCTTCTTTTCCCATCATAAACTGGTCTACGGTCCCCAAATATTGTCACTTTAAAATGCTGCACCATTGAGTCCACCACCTCCCTAGAAAAGTTGATATTTACATTGAAGATGTTTTCAAAGAAGTATCAGACTGGAACTGGCTCCCACACACCCTGTGTTTTGCTGAAGTAGTTTCAACAAACATATTACTCAGGTGAATTATAGAACACTCTCAGATTTTCCAAAAAGGTGCTTCACATACTTCAACTAAAATAACAGATAAACACTGAAGAATAAAACCAGAATCAACGCAAATGCTCAAATACTCAAATGGCAAGTATCATTACTGAAATAATTCCAGGAAATCCCACAAATGACCACGGCCGTTGTATAACTTTTATTATACAAAGCAAGGACACGCTTACCTTGGAAGAAACCCGCAAGCTAGTGTTATGAAAAACTAGTACAAACTCACAACTGAAAGCTATGCTAGTTCATGGAAGCAGTAATTAATTGTATTGCCTACCAAGTAACATTCATCTGCTCTTCAATTAACAAGAGTTTTGAATTCTGCCTACGTTGTAAATAAAAATGAGGTACTGTAACAAAATAGTCTTAGCTTTAAGTCCTTAATAATCTGAGTTTTTACAACAAAATCATGTAAAAGCCTGATCAAATTTGTACACAATTATAGATTCTCCTAACTTACTTTATTATGAGTTGATAGCAATAAAGAAAATAGTAACCTGATAGAAGCTCTGAAAGGCCACTTGGAAAACACCATAAAATTTTCATCTTATATAAAAAAAAGGCTTCTTGGTACAACTAGGAGATCTATCTGGTCCAAAGAGACTTTTGCAATACATCTAAGTGAAACATGCCTTCAGGATTTGAATTCTCTGGGTATTTTTTGTGTTTCAGTGGCACAACTGTACCTTACTTGATACAACTCCTCCCTTATTTTACAGAAATTAAACACTTAAGCACATGCAAAGTACCAAGTAGAAGCTTACTAGTATACCATTTCCTGACCAGCAATATTAACCTAAAGTACTTCAGGAAGATGATAAATATTGACTTCCTCTTCAAGCAAAATTAGCAGCAGTACTTTCACCTCTCAGCTGAGACTTGGGGAAAAGGAAAAGAAATTCTCCATTTCACAGTTCTTTATGTCACTAAACTCTCAGAATCCAAAGCCTTTCACTGGCTAAAAGCACATCAATACACTGAAGCAATTTCACAATATCTACTTAGTACTCAATTGTGCTCCTGCACAAGTCCATCTTATCTGAAAACCCCATTCCACACTGGTACACTGCTCCCTTGTAACACTGTGTGCAGGGTTAAGTGCGCAAAAGCAACTTTTTCTGTAAGGGTGGCTGGTTGTCACATACCCTGTGATAAAAGCAGAGGGATAAAAGTTAGTGATGAAGAGTAGGAGGTAGGAGGGAGGAAGGAAGAGGCTCTGTAAGACAAAACTCCCATACCAGAGTTCTCAGCAGTAGCTTTGCTATTCCTCCCGCATGCACGGCACGCTGCAGAGCAAAGCATTATTTACCTTCTGCTTTCCAGTTTACAACGCAGCGGAAACAGAGGTAAAGAACGTCACTATAAAGGAAAGTGAAGAGGAAACAGAAGACACTCTAGATTTTAAAGCTTCCCTACACCTAAAAGCTAGTAAAGGTGCAGGTGAATTTAAAAAAACCCAGCAACTCTACAGGAACTAAACTCCCTATTTATTCTAAATACAAGCATATGGACAGGATGTTAGTCAGAAACTATTTCAGAATAGCTGAGTCTATGTAAATGCACTGACTTCTTAGAAATAATTGTCACAGCATGCAAGAGAAAGGGAAAAATATATTTCTAAGGAAAAGTCTTCAAAGCAGGTATTTCAGTGTACTCATTTTCATTTAGACTAATGAAAGCCATTCTTCTCTGCGTAATCCACAGCACGCTATCCAAAGGCATCTATTCAGCAGATACTATATTCTTTTATTGGGCTCATTTGTACAAGCTCTTGCAGTTTTTAACTAACATCTGCCACATCTTTATACACATGAAAGTTGTTAAAGTAGTAGTATTTTTAAATAACCAATTTCCCAGTTCCCTACTTTGAAAACACCAACATGCCTGCAAGATTTACCCTCAGCTTTCAGATTTTAAACTGCAGCTTATATTAGGATTCATAATTTACATACAGTATTTGCTGTCAAATTTGAAAACAAATTTAGTCTTTCATTTGAAAATATTTGACTATTAAAGCAATTCCTTAGGTTTGCTGCCTGTGTTCAATTAGTCTTCTCAGTTTACCTTGATGAAAAACACATGACTGCTTCTGCCAGTTGGTAACACAAATGAAGAAAAGCAAGACACTGTCTTTACTGGTAGAATAGAAAGTTGTTCAGCTCCAGGACAAAGTTACGCACGCATCTGAACTATACCTATGCCACAACAACTAAATTTATGAATGAGAAACCTCAAAAAGCACTTAAAATTAACTCCAGTCTATAAAAAGCTCTTCTGGGAAACAACCAACACTCACACAACCTAACAAAAGTCAAAAGCAGCAGTTAGATACTCAACCTGAGAGTCACAAAAGGTATGAAAAGTTGGATCAGCTGCAAGCATGCTCTTCATGAATTCACTATTATTTAGGTAAGCAAAAATATTGATCATTTCACACAGAGTTACTTTGCAAACTCAAATCACATGCTTTTGCCTCTCCCCATAAACTGAAAACTTCAGCAGACACAGCATTTATCTAAGGCATAACCAACCAAACCAAGCTGTGACAAACACTGGGTTTGGTTTTGGAAGCAAGCTTGAAATTACCCTACAAACAGGGCCATGAAAGGGATTTTTTTTTTCCTTTTAAATTTTAAATAAAATTTAGTTGCTATTTTAAAACAACTCATTTCAAGTTCACTATTTCCAAACATCTGTATTTTTTCCCAACTGTTATGGAAACAACAAACTACACAGACTGCAGTTGCTGGAGCTACCAGAGTTCTCACAGCTTTGTCTCCCTCAGTCTATTTTAATCCACCATTTCCATGCAACAGACAAAAAAAGTGGTTTTAGTCAAAAGATTTTAAGTGAAATGACATGTATCTTCATGACAAGATTGCACTAGAAAAGAATCAGACATACAAAACACTAAGTCAGTTTAGAGCAGTTTATATTCTCCTTGTATCCCTATGAGCTTAACAGTAAGATTATATTAAATATTAATTCACACAGGACTATTATATACCAATTTTAGCAATTTATTCATTTCTTTTTAATTAATACTTAACATAAGTATTTATACAACCTTCATAACTGCAGTATGCAACTAGCAGTGGAAAAAAATCACCAGGTAGAATCAGGCCCTAGCAATACACTATTGTTAAAATGCAAAAAGCCAGAGTTGCAGATGAAAGAGGAAAAAATTGCTTTTCAGCTACCCTGATGAAATAGATTTCACAAGAGACTAACAAGTAACTCCTCCTGAAAAAAAATACTCAATGCAGAGAAGAAATACAGGAAATATGAAATGTTGTAATCTTTAAAACACAAAAAATATTATAGCTCTAATGTCAGGTTCTCAATTAACTATTCCTTCTGAGGAGGCTTCTCTGGCTCCCAAAATGCATAAGGTTTAGGACAAAACACACAAAGACCATATATAAAAAGCTGTACTATCAATCTGTTAAGGCTGAAGAATCCAGCACTCAATAGGGAAAGTCTGTTGGATCACCAAATGAACAGGGATACAGCATATTAATATATTATCTTCATTTAACCATCAATGTAGAACTGAAGCAGCCTAGGAAGGGATTTTAACTGACCCTAATACACAGCAGACATGAAAATAAGATGAGATACAACGTGCTATACAAAATGCTGTGACAACAGAGAAAGGACACAGGTGGAGCTCAGGCCAAGTCTGACCATTTCAATATACTAAGCTGATTGCATGAAAAACCTATTAACAAGGGGAAAACTAGTTTGTTTGCAGTGCTTTCATACCACTACTCCTAACTGAAGCTTTCCAGCTGAAGGCCGTCTCCTCCTGCACCTACAGCAATGGCTTTTAGTCACTAGCTTCTGATCACAATACCCAAGTGAATTAAGTTGGGAAACCTTTCAAATTTACCAATGCTGCAATGTATCTCAACACCAACTGAGGATAAAAACACCCATAGGAGCAGACTCCTGCTAACTCAAATGGTGAAACAGCCAGTATTGCAACCCAAAAAGGTGACTGCCGACAGCTATACCATATTTATGCTGCCCTGAAGAATAGGGGTCACTGCCCACAGGGCTCACAAAGTACTGTGACCACTAATGGCTGGCCCACTTCAGAGCACCTGGCCCCAACCAAACTGTGAAGAACTTGGAACAGGCTCTGTACCTGTCTCACAGATGTCTGTGAGAACTTGCACACAGGTCTCCATAGCATACTGCTCAGATTTTAAGCTACACAAAGATTATATTTACTTCAGTAGGTCCCTCTGTTGCTTAAAAATTTCACTATCAGTCTAATTTACGAGATAAATGTCACCTCACCTGTTCACCCTCCGAGGACACTTATCTGGTTTGATATCCACCTCATAGAGGTAGACATCAATCTTTGGGATTTCAACTTGGAAGCAGTTGGCCAGCAGTTTAATGGGTTTGCCCATGGTGCCATAGCCAGGACGCCTGGGCACCACGAGTAGGGGCTGTGCCCCGACGGGTCCTGCGAAAGAAAAAAAATACCACAGATTAGAAGATAAGCACAACAGACAAGCTGTCCTACAGAGGTACTACTTGCTTATATTTCAGCAGTTTAAAAGTACAGAAGGCTCCTTGCATTTGCAGATACACATGCTTGCCTCCCATTGAGACTTACTAATGTACTCCCCTTTTCAGTCTTAGGCAATTCCCTGAACCAACTCACAGCATGACCGGGCAGGCACCAGAGCCAGTACACTGGAAGAAGGGAAAATCAGCTGTATCAAACAGCATACATCAAACAGCCTGCTAGCCTATTAAGTTCTAAACAAACACTTGCCCATTTTTTCCTCCATGAGCCTCCACCCACATCTCAACTGTCTTCTTACTGCTGATTTTCAGCTTCTGTGATTAGCATGATTAAACCAGGAGACTTCCTAAACAAACAAAAAAGCATGCTTCTCCTTGTAACACTTTACTATTGCAGAAAGCTTGTCTGCCATTAAAACACAAGATGTTTTACAAGTCTTTTCTGAACACCTAGTAATAACAAAGTTGCCACAGAATACAAAACCATGGAAGCAGTTCTGGACTGATGTATGTTATGTGTGATAAACTCTTAATTTCATTGCCATTATTAGCTCAGTCTTGGAAGACAGATCATTCTTGAACTTTGCTGGCTGAAAACGGATGAGGAGTAAAACCATTACCTCCTGTCTAACTGCACCGATAAAGCCGATTGACCAGAAGAGGAAAGACTCAGGGTTAAGACCCAGGACTGTAAAACTCTTGATTACTTCTACATTAGAGAATACCCATAGCTGCTCAGAGAAACCATCGAAACCTGCAATAAGATACAGGTATTTTGAAAGTCAGTTGAAAACACCTGTCTAGTAATATACGTTACATCCTCATCTGGTTGTCTATTTAATTTACTTTGTATCATTTAGATGAGAATCCTCAGCTCAAAATCTGGGTTATTCATGTCTTATAAAACCAAACCAACTAGTAAATATAGTCCACTTTCAAGAATTTCTACTGGTATTTCCACTTTAAAATATCTCTCTCCAGTCAAGAAACAACAACAAACCCAACATGTTTTGTAGCCAGAGTTTTAAAAAATTACTCATCATAGAATGCCCTGTAAATCATGACATTTGTATTAAGTTAGTTAAAAGTTCTCCCCTCTACTCCTACTCAGTGACGCAGATAGCAATTCCAACCCACTCATTTTCATAGAAGAGTTAAAATGTCAAGTGCTGGTAAAAATTTCTATTTGCCTTTTGATTAATCTCCACCATTCCTGGAAAAAAATCTCATTATCTTGAAGGAAACCGTGTACTGAGAATAGGTGAACATCAAAGGCGAGTTCCTCTGTAACATTTGTCTGTCTCTACCCAGAAACGTACCCAAAAATTCTGAGTGGGCTTGGCTTTGAGCCAGAAGATAAAACAAAAACATAAAACAAAAAGCATCATTTAGAACACCCTCACAGACTCTGCTTATGCAAGACTTGTTCCAAGCATCTGTTCTCTTCAACTTTTTTTTCATTTTAATACTGTAAAAGCAGCTCTACAATTTACTCCAGATATATTTTCAGAATATAAGCATATGCAAAAAGTTACTATTAAGCATTTGAGTGACATAAATGACTCAATAGCTTATTTTAATATTACAAAGACATACATGCCATAGTTTATATTTAGTTCACATCTGTAGGAAATGCTAACAAAACTGCTGAAATAAAGATAACATCTAAAAGTTTACTACAGTCAGGTCTGCCCTGTCTCCTGTCACCCCATTTGTTAAAATCATGTAAGAACAGTTGCTAAAATCTGTAAGCACAGAAGACACAGCATGAAGACAATCTCCACAAAGGTTAGGAGAAGAAGTTGAAGCGCGCGGAACAGGGAAATAGAGCACGGCTGAAATCTTAGTGCAACTTCCAGAGGAGAGGGTGACAAAGTTCAACTTTTTAACTGAGCACTCAACTGCTGGAGAAGAGACGAACTCCTTTACAGGAATGCTATCCCATTATTTACCCCTTTGCTTACATTAACAGAATCCTAGTGATCAACTGCACAGGGGCAAAAACCTGAAACAGAGAAATTATATTCAGTTACTAATATGAGGCAGGGTGCACTTCAAAATCCTAGGTCATAAAAGAAATGCTGTACCCAAAGCCAAGCATGCAAGCAGGCCTCCAACCTCTGCTCCTTGGAAAGCAGTGGTGAACAAAACAAGAAAATACCAGTTGTTAGACAAAGGCGTTCGTTAGCCTCACTCGTTCAGCTGCACCACACACGGCTCTGCAGGAAACAGCTCACCCTGGAAGAAGTTAGAACCCAGATTTTGGCAAAGAGGAATTAAGTGACCAACAAATGAATAAGAATCACAGGTCTACAGGCTATTCAGGAATAATTTTTAAAGAATTCAGCTGATTTTGCTATTGTGTGATTCACACACTCCCTTGGACAAGTTAACGTGACATGAGTCAGTTCTACTATCACTGTCCAAACACACCAGCACCCACTCGGAATACCCTGCTTTCAAAAATACACTAAATTGCCAGATTGCATGTTGTGAAAGTCTGCACCACTGGCTTCAAACCTGTGACTCAAAACCCAATAAAACATAAATAACCAGCGATGCTCTCTGAGATCAGCTACTGCTCCCGTATCGTATCAATGACTCACTCAGCCTCATGCCTAAGTCCTGTGTCAAACCAATGGAAATAAACACATGAACCAAAAATATTAAAAGCCCTATTATTCTAAATAGCACAGAATGACTACGAGTGGCAGCCCGATTCCTTCATGTTATTTAACCATTGCAAAACCAAAGTCATTAACGCGACAAAGATCTTTGCAAAAAGCATTACTGCAGCACAGCCTGGCTCCGCAGCAGATGGAGGAACGTTCAGTCTCTCGGTGCCTCCAGACGAGCAGCTCTGCACTGTTCGTTGCCCACAAGAGACATTTTAGAAGAGAAACTTCTTTGTGTTTAAGAAACCATTACTGCTCTGCCATTAGAGCAGCATCAAATACGTACATATACCTAGTGAGTCCTTAAAAATCCAAGAAAAAACATAAATCAAGTCTATTTAGCCTGCCAGGTTAGTACTCAATTCATAAAACCAGTTAAGGAAAGTCCCCAACATCGACATTCAACTGATTTCTAACACAGAACAATGAATACACAGGTAGGAATTAAGCTTGACCCTTCAAACGGATTCTTGGAAGGCTTTTATACAGCAAGGAAGCACATTTCAAGAACATACAAGATCTGCCACTAAATAAGGAACCTTCTGAATGTACGGTTACTCATTAGAAAATATACAGCAGAAATCTGCAGATAAAATATTTGACTAAGCATTTAAATCAGTAATAACACAAGCTAGAAAAAAAAAAATCTCTTCAGGAGCTAAAGGTATATTAATTTATAAATTACCACTCATAGCATTTGCTGAAGTCACTATTTATGAACATCCTTCAGCAATGCTGACAGACTTTTTTCTCACAACCGGATGCGCAATAAACAAGTAGGAGTGAAAGCCCTGACAATATACCTGCAAACCAAATACCAACCCAGGAAAGTTCCACCTTTCACCAACCAGTGCCCAACGGCGTGCTGTGTACAGCAGCGCACAAAGTCCAGGGTTTGCTCCCCGCCACCACTGCCACGTTTGGAAGTAGGTATCTCGAGTCCCCGTCGCATTTCACAGGGGATTTACACCGGTATTTCCCACGGACATAGACGGGACATTACTGTTCCAGCCCAACGTGCACCAGGACCTAAGTTGGTTATCTGTGCCTGCTGCACCAGACTGGGTCATGTGCCAAATTACCTGCGTCCCATAACCAGGTAGCTTGGTGATGAGGTGGACAATACTTTGCTGATATTTAATTCAAAATTTCAACTAAACCCCAAAAGAGATGAAAAAGGAATTGTCACTTTTAGAGGGCTTAATGAGGAAACTAGTATTTCAATATTTTTTTAATTGTTAAAATGGACTAAGTCTATTGTTTATGAAATACATTCTGAAGAAAAACCTCATACCAATACTATTGTTTCAAAGAACTGAAGTTTGGAGTAATATTAAAAATATGTGGACAATGAAATTAATTTCAAGTGCAATTACGCAGCACCTCTGCCAACAGAACCATTTACTCCAACAGCACTTGAAAACAGGGAATTTGCAGTTGTCAGTGTTCAAATCCACAACGTGAAAATTCCCATTAAAGTCAGATCATATTCCAGACCAATATGGAAGTCCTTCTAATGGTTTAAATGAGCTCTGAATCAGGATCTTTTCTTCTGTGGAATTATGGATGTTACAATAAAGATTAAACAAAACAAAAATTGACTGTAATTTCTATGGCAATACAGCCAGCCGTATAGAACACATCTGGCGTGCATCCAAAACGCAGGCTTGAATCTACCTAGCAACCAAATGGAGCCCTAATCAGAATAAAGCCTGAACAGAAAGAGCATGAGCACAGAAATCTGCAAATACTTTCAACAAAATTGAAGCTTTTGGCATGCAAGACAGTTTAACAACACGAAGCAAAATACTGAATTCTAGCAAGATGCTAATAGAAAATACAGATTTCTTTACATGATCCTTTCTTTACAGAAAGAGACATCAGTACTGAGCTTCCAGCAAAAAATTATCCTCTTTCCTGCTGTGGGCTTCAGCATTATAAAACCAAAAAATATTAACAGATGATTACTTAATAGTTTTATTTTTGTTTATAAAACAGTTCTAAATCTCTGACTGAATAGTCTTACAAACATGATAGAGAATTAACAGGTAAAATATTATTTAAACTCTGGCTCAGTAACCCAAGGCAGGTTTGTCTAACAGCTCCCATCCTCGGGCTGGAATCTGCACAGGGGAGAAAGCTCTCCATGGAGGGGGGGAGAAGACGGGGGGGTGGAAGATTCCCTTTCAGAGGGCCCCTGGCCTCTGCTTGGACTCAGAGGCCCAGCCTGTGGAGCTCAAAGAAAATCCTATCACTACC